TGTCACACTTCTGTGTTTTCTCAGGGTCTGAAACCTAATTATCCCAAAAAGTTATTCTATATCTTGGGTTGTAATTTCTGTTTTAAGTTACTTCCCTTTAATTAGCTTTTTTTATTTTGTCATTGAAAACTTCAAGTATATGATAAATGGTAGTGTTAAACTATTTTATTATAGATATAGTATTTAATCAGAAATTGATTATTTTATGAGTGATCATCGTTGAAATATTTATGTAATGGTTTGTTAATTTGGTTACAGAAAGCAATTCCTGTAGCAACAACAAAATGACAATAATTATATAATTATACCTGTTTATGCTTAAACTTATAGATATTATATATTATGTGCCAGATTTCAATATTAGTTTTGTTAAAGGCACTTTATGCCTCAGAAATCCATTTTTAGCTTACCTAACACAAAGTGATAAGGTGAACTTTTGTGTTTGCTTATCTTCTGGGCGGCGGTCCATAAACTTTTTCTGTAAACAACATCTTATAAACCACATAGCCAATTTCAACCAAACTTTACAAGAATGTTCCTCTGGTGGTCACCTTTAGAAATTGTTCAAAGAATTCAATTCCATGCAGATTTCTGGTAGCCATGGCAACCAAAGAAAAATCTAAAAAATCTTCTTTTAAAAAAATCCAAAGAGCTTGAGCTTATATAATAAGCATGAAACATCTTCTATTGTGTGTCTACCAAGTTTGATCAGGTAAAAGCCCTGGGGTCAAAATTGGCCCTGTCGCAGGGAAGGTCGTTGATTTTCCTTATATGTGTATATAGTAAAACATAAAAATTCTTCTTTTAAAATCCTTAAAGAGCTAGAGCTAAGATAATAAGCATGAAACATCTTCTTGTGAGTGTCTACCAAGTTTGTTCATATAGCCCCAGAGTCAAATCTGGCCCTGTCCGGGGGCGGGGAGGTTCGTCTTTGATTTTCCCTGTATTTTAGGTGTCAGTTTCTCCACTTGTAAAAGAGTTGGTAAGCGAACAGCATGGATCCTGATCAGACTGCGCGGATGCGCAGGCTGGTCTGAATCCATGCTGGTCGCAAACCCACTATGTTGGTTTTGTTGTGACGTGGCTCAATTATATCCCAAACAGTGATATTGCTCAATGAAATCACTGTTAGTGTTCAGATTTGAGGAATTATATGACGATATCAATAGAGCGTAGCCCGAGTGATTTTATGATGCGCATCCAATTGACAAACAGTGATTTTATCAAGTGATTTTTGATTCTAACACAACATGATTTGTTTCTGTGCTTATTTTCATTGTGTCTCAATTTTAGTGGTTACAGCACAAGTATAATGATAACATCACTTTTCTAAATATAGAACCTTAACAGTGATTTTATTTCATTTTAACACAAACTTTGGGTTCTTTTATGTTCAATAGGGAAAAATGCGGGTCGTGTTAGAATATATCACATGCATCATGAAGAAAAATAAGGTTTTGCTGCTGAAATAAATGATCATACCAGTGCAGTCTGACCAGGCTTCATACTGTTAGCTGATCAACTTGATTGACATCCCTTAATTCTATAATGTACTGTTCCAAGAAAGATAAATGGACTTGTCCATTGAAGGAATTTGACAGGTTACTGGTTCAGACTTAATTGAATGTTAATTGAAGTATAAGTATGTAATTCATCAATAGGGAACAATTTCTATTTATAGTTGGTTACCTCATTTCATTGAGCTCTGCATGTTATGACTGAAAGATTTTAACTTGTTTAGTATTGTTTCATGTTATTTGGTTGGAAGTATTTCTTTTGTAGTTAAATTTTAAAAGTTGAATATTATGTAAAATGTTCAGTTGTTGTCAGTTAAAAAATAAAATTGTTTCAATATGCATATTGTTTTGTAATGGAGATTTCCAGTGACTTTCATTTTACCTACCTTTAAATCATCCATATGATTTTACCCCCACTAAGTTGGGGGTGGGGGGTATATAGGAGTCAGCTTGTCGGTTGGTCCACTTCATGGTTTACTGACGATAATTGAAGTTTGGAAAATACATTATTGTCATCAAACTTGGTGTATAGCAACCTTATGTGGAAACCCAGGTTGTGACTGCTTTTGGACACCCTAGGGTCAAGGTCACTGCTACTAAAAATTGTTAAAAAAAACGGATTCCAAACAAGAACTGGAGTAAGGTAACGGATATTGTAATCAAACTTGATGTATAGCAACCTATATAAAGACCTTGGTTTGGATCGGTTTTGGACCCCCTGGGATCAAGGTCACTGGTACTTACAATAGAAAAATGGTTTCCTGACAATAACTGGAGTTAGGTATGAGATATAATAATCAAACTTAGAAATATAGCAACTTTATGTGGGAACAACAGTTGTGATTGCTCTTGGATCTCCTAAGGTCATGGTCACTGTTACTAAAAATAGAAAAAATGGTTTCAGCAAAATTTACTTTTAAATTACTTTTGGTGGGGTTTAATGTCACACCAACACAGTAAAGGTCATATGGTGACTTTCCAGCATTATTTCAGGCACAAAGTGGCACCTGAGTAAAACCACTAATGTTCCATAAGCAAGCTGGATAGCTTCCTCATGTGAAAGAATTCAGAGTGGTGAGGTGTGAGTGGCTTGAAGTCGACAACCTTAACCACTTGACCACGGATGCTCCTGGAATAAGATGTTATAATCAAACCTGGTATATATCAAGCTTATATGAAGACCCGTTTGGAACTTCTTTTGGATCCCCTGGGGTGAAGATCACTGTTAATTATACCACCGTCAAACGAAGTGGAGTCAGCTGGTGGTGGGTGTTGCAGATGTCTTGTACGGGACGTAACTCAGAATGCACAAGAGAATTATCAACTTCAAATTTAGTAGGTAGATAGGTCTAATTGAGTAGAAGTGCAGTGCGTAAGAACAATCACACGTTATATATTCCCATTCAGAAAGCCCTAGGTTGTTTTATAATTTGAGAAAAAAAATGACTGGTCATATGCGTTCTTTTATCCAAGAATGAATCAAATCTGTAAATAAATAATACATGTAGTTTTCAATGAAAATTTAAGCAAATTTCAATAATTTAACTTGGATGGTTTAGGTATTGTTAAATGATGCTAGTCAGTGGTTGCTGGGAAATGTCTGGACAAGCATTACAGCTGAAGCCAAAATACATACATTGGTTACATGTAGGGAGACCTAGGCATTGTTGTCACCTAGGCATCAAGTCACACTTTGGTTTAGTTTTTGCTTCCAAAACTATTGAACAGAATGGCTTGAAACTTCACACTCTTATTTACTAGCATAAAAGGTCACTTTTTCAAGGCTAATAGATTTTGACAGAATTAGGGCGCTTTTTAAACTTACATTATCCAGGCTCTTGTTTTACTATCAAGCACTGGAATAGACAAGCACACCATCCTACAGACATTTGCTCTTGTTGTGAAATATCATTGGACTGGAACTTATGCAGCTAATACACATACCTCCACTTTGTACTAAATCTACCTTCAAAGTTTTAATAAATTTGAGTCAGTGGTTGCCAAGAAATAGTCACACGAAATTTCACGATAGACGAAGCACCTGCTGTATGTTCTATACATCATAGACTCAAACAAAGTTGGTATACTGGATCAAGACGGTTACATTATTATCTGGCCGCCTGTTTTTATTGTGTCGCACATAACTTAGATTATAGGAGGTATCGACATGAAGGAAGTTTCTCAGGTTGATGGACAAACAAGTGAGCCATGATGGCCCTTAATCGCTCACCTGAGTAGATGGTTCCAATGAACAAGATTGTATTATTTAGACATTGGCAAAAACATAAATTTTACAAAAAGTGTGCAGGGGTTGATGTATTAAAAGAATAAATTTGTTGGAATTGTTACCTTTCATATTATCATTACCTAATGGGACTCTACATAAAATATATTTACACTGAATAAAGACTAGAATTCTTTGCAGAGTGAAATTTACCAACATTTCTGAAAAAAGGAAAAGTTATTGAATGTCTCGGACAGCTACCTTCATCTTGTTCAGTACACTATTTACATTTGAGCAATTTTTTTTATAGAGAATCATCAAAAGATCATTCCTGTAGTTTCACATGGGTAAAAGTTTGAAGTTCTAAAAATCCTGAAGTAAGCGGTGTTTCTATTGTTTTGCGTAGGAAATAGAAGGCTTCTAGAGACTGGAAATCCTGAACTTAAGGAAAAATCCTGAAAACTTTGACCCAGGAGTTTCATCAAAATTTACCCAATACTTAAGCAAGAGATGCCATTGAAAAGGTTTTTTTTATTTTCAGCACTAATGGACATTTTATTCAGCTTAACCATATAAGCAACTTTTATAGAGGACTGGCAAATAACCATTCTGGTGTAGTTTCATCAAAATCTAGTAAACAGTGAAGAGATGTTGTTTAAAAGGCTTTTCTATTTTTAGCTTGGAGTAAATTTTGGAGATTATTCCTGTATACATGTAGTTTCATCACTACTGGTGTAGAGGTTAAAGATCAATGTTGTTTTAATGTTTACAACAGATGCCGGACACAGGGGTATCACAATAGCTAACCTCAAGTTTGTTGTTTACACAGAATTTATTTTAGCTTGTGTAGGAAGCTATAAGCTTAAAGACACACTTTCGAATCTGTTCCTGGAACAAACCAGTACTGAGAAATGAGTGTAAAGTTTCTTGCTGAAGTAAACAACGCTTTGCCCCTAACACGGTTTGAACCCTTGTGATCATTAGATAACTAGTTCAGACAGTTTAACCACTCGGCTGTGCCGCCAATCCAGTATATCTTCTGCTCATGTGAACTGAAAAAACAACTATCTTTTGAATGATCCTGGAGTGCTTTGTAATTTTTTCACGCAATTTTCATCCGGAGCAAAGCTATGAAACTTTATAGGTGGGTAGAGCTATCAGAAAAGAAACGCAGTGCTGAGAACAGTTACCTTCCCTTGCATAGACTAAGAGGTATGCACTTAGTAAATGTTAACACGTAAATAAAAAACAAATTTCAATTGAAGTTATGACTTATTTTATTATTTTTCAACCGTCATCGTAATATTAACAAAACATGTAAATGTTAAACATCAAATGGTTTCAGAGAACTAAAACTGTAAAATAAAACATCATTTATTAAAACAAATCAATCTGTACCAGGTCCTATATAAAATTTAATTACATTCTAAAATATCATGTTGATGAGTATTTTAATAATGACACAAAATAAAACCCAACATGTTACATGTGATACATGTATAGCATACTATCTAAATATTAAATATATCAAGTACACGCACAGTGTGCCTTGAATGGAAAGTGAGAATACAGGAATTAAAATGATAAATTTGAAACATTAAAAATTCCCCATTAAATATTTCATACCTTATTTTAAAATTAAATCAATGAAAATAGAACTGGAAGACAATTCAAACAGGTATATAAAAATCTCATTAGTTTATGGGATTTCCAGTTAGAATGCTAAAACCATAAGCATCCGCATCACAACAAATCTAACGTAATGAGTTTGCGACCAGCATGGATCCAGACCAGCCTGCGCCTCCACGCAGTCTGATCAGGATCCATGCTGTTCGCTATCAGTTTCTCTACTTGTTCGAGTTTGTAAGCGAACAGCTGATCACAAACGCACTATGTTGGTTTTGTCATGACGCGACTCATTTGATAATTGACCATGTCCTGGACTTTTTGAGAAAAATCAGGGATCATATTAGATAAAATTGTTCCAGGTACAAATGAATGAATGTATGGATAAAATGCCCTATACAAGGTTATCATAAAATACACATGGAATATTAAACAATACATGATAATGATTTTTGCTTAGAAGTAAGAGACAAAATAGAGACAAGATTTTAATGTACAGAGATCTTTCTGCCAAAATATCATGAAATATATTCTTACAATTTCGTTATTTTTTTTCTGGTCTGCTTTATGGATTACTATATAAGTTGTGGCATCATGTCATCAAATATTGTTGCGACAAGTTGGGGCTCGGATCAACAAAAGTAAGACAAATACCTATACCAACTAATGAAATACAGTTGAACAAGTGACTATGTAGATTGATGGTTCGTTCATTGTCTAAAGATGCCCTATATTTATGGACACCATGGTAATCTACAGATAACATGCCTCTTCATCAAACTCAAACTTTTCTGCAAAAATTAAAGATCTTACATCAACTTTAGGCTGAATGAATAGCTTTTAAAAATCAAGACAAATAGAAAAACACAAGGACAAAAAATACACTTTTATACAACAGAAATAAAAAAAAACTGTGACATCATTTATTTTAAAACACAATTTAATTAAAAACATTAAAATTTAATTAAGAACATTAAAAAATTAATTAGAAATATTCAACATTTTAAATGATTAATGCAAATAAAATATCACAGAATGTACTGTTCCTCTATAATAATGATTTTCACTATTTTATGTAAAACAAGTATCAACTTATTATTCTTTTTTTTTGTATGTTAATTACGGTAAACCAGAGTTTCAATATACAATTGTATATAAATTTTTGTTAAATATTAAATAATTCCGTTCAAGTTAAATATTTTCTTTTATAAAAAGACACAACAAAATAAAAACCACCCTATATAACTCTGAAATTTGATAAGATGTCATTTAATGAAAAAAAATCTCTGATTTTCTGACCAATCTTCATGGCATGGCTTGTGTATGTAAATCTGTCATTATATATATCATATATATTTATCTCTCTATAACAAACTTGCAGTCAAACTTGCAGTCTTTTATTACAAAGGCCAGTCATCATAATCAGTTGCCATGAACCACTTAAACAAAATGTTCACAGTCAAAATGTTAGTCTCACCTCGCATTAAATAATGAACGAGTACAAACACTTCCTTATTCAAGTCCTGGTGTAAAATAATGTAATTATATCGGCCAATCCTCTAACACAATGAGATAGGTTACAATGAACTAAAACCCCTAGTACATTCATTCTATAAATCTTTGTAGTAGTGTTTCAATGCGGAGCTTTTAAAAATTTGTATGCAAAGCAAAACTTATCTCCTTGTAATCTATACCTCTATCGTTTCAATAGGAAGTATGAAACTTAAGGCCTCAAATTTACACCAATACTGAATGGTTAATAAAGTCACCTATGACCTCTGATATCACATGGCACATAATCACCCAGAAACCAATAGTATGGCAGATGTTTCCCCTTTAAAGTCATTATTAACACTAATTTCTATGCTTGGCTAAAAAGTCCTTCATGAACTCTGCCAGCAGTTTGGTTTCAGCTACAGTTACAGCATTGTATAGTGACACACGTATACCACCAACAGACCTGAAATAACAAATTTACAGTTACAACATTATATAGTGACACACATATACCATGGACACATGTAAAATAAGTTTACAGTTAAAACATTGTATAGTGACACACATGTACACCATCAAAACATGTTAAACAATTTTACAGTTACCTCATTGTACACTAAACATGTATACCATTAAAACTTAAAATTAATGAATTCCCATATTATCATCCTATGACAATATACACAAATAACTAAAATATATAATAACAAATATAACATCTTAAATATTATGTAATTTATTCCTGCATCAAAAACAGGTCCTTTTTTAAAGTAATTTAATAGTAAGCCCCCCTTGCAAAAAACCCCAGTACTGGACATTTAAATTCAACATTGCCCTCCCCCAAAATAGAGCCTAAATCCATTTGCCCCTGGTTTAAGAGGGGGCAAGCATTTTAAAACAATAAAGCCACAAAATTTTAGCCGTTACTAAAAAACCCAAAACATAAGGGTTTTGCGACCAGGATCCAGCCCAAAAGCCTGCGCATCCGGGGCAGTCTAAATCGGGTTTTTGCTTTTGCTATCAGTTTCTCTACTTGTAATAAAGTTGGTAAGCTAACAGCATGGATCCTGATCAGACTGCGCGGACTGGATCCATGCTGGTCGCATACACACTATGTTGGTTTTGTCGTGACGCGGCTCATGTGATAATAATATCAAGATATTGCGACTGTCTGTGTTGTATTAGGGAGACTTTTTCTGTTGATAGCCTATACTTTAATGGTTGACTGCAAAACTGAAGTAAGTTAGATGAAATAAAGGACTTACAAAAGTTTTGCAGCCAACTATTGACTTGTAGAAAGTGAAATAAAACCAGCACTAACCTATGTCCTTTCAGTTGAATCATTCCTTGTTCGGCAGCCATATCTATAAACTTCTTCTCAAGAACGTCGTGGCTGTCCGGGTTTCCTATACGGAAAGGCACATTAGTTCTACTGCGGCATTTTTTGTTGACAGGACAACAGAAGAATCCACTAGAATTATCTATAATGTCATATATCATCTCTGACTTTTGTCTTGAGTTTTCCTCCATGGCTTTTACACCACCATGCTCTTTCTTCCATCTGAATACTAGTCCCATTATGTATATACTGAAGAGAAACAAATATATTTATATCTTATATCATCTAAATACTAGACCCATTATGTATATACTGAAGAGAAACAAATATATTTATATCATCTAAACACTCAATTACAGGCTGAAAACTAATTTGATCACAGTCATTTTTCTTTCTAAAATCTAGTGTACAAAACATTTCCTGATGAAAAATTATACAGCGGTCAAAAATATTTAAAATTGCTTTTGTACATTCACAATATTTGATAGCAAAACAATATACTAGATTTCATATAAGAGTGTAGCTGAATATATTGTAACAGTAATACCTGTGAAAGGTAACGGGTAATAAAACAAGTCAAATCAACCGTAAAAACATGACCAAATTTCACCCTAAAATCAAGGATCATTTTGCTATACAATATTAGTCATTGAATTTAAGATTTTGAATTTACTGGCTCGAATTCCAGTTTTGAATTTTAATTCTACTATATATTTAACTTAAATCTTATTAAAATTTACACTGGCCCGAACAATTTACACCGGCCCAGTTCTAAATTTGATGACAGCAATACCTGTAAGTTGGCGGAGTATTATATAGAGAGTTGTTTCCAACTTGAGTCTTGTAACAGAACACTGTTGGAGTATTTGACATTTGTTTCCCTATCAGATCTTCTCGTATAATAACAACAGTACAGCCAGCACATCCAATGTTCTTCTGAGCACCACCAAATATCACACCAAACTGCAGCAAAATATATACAATATAGGAAAATATCACACCAAACTGCAGCAAAATATATACAATATAGGAAAATATCACACCAAACTGCAGCAAAATATATACAATATAGGAAAATATCACACCAAACTGCAGCAAAATATATACAATACATTAACTATAGGAAAATATCACACCAAACTGCAGCAAAATATATACAATACATTAACTATAGGAAAATATCACATCAAACTGCAGCAAAATATATACAATACTTTAACTATAGGAAAATACACAAAAACGCAGCAAAAATATACAAACATTAACTAAGAAATATCAATAAACGCAGCAAAATTATCAAACTTTTTAATTAAAGGAAAATCTAAACCAAAAAGAATTCTTTAAAACCCCCGACAGTGAAGGACGCACAAAGAAATAATTCAATATGTTACAGGTAAACATCAAAGAATTTGCTCTTGGTACTTGAACAGTTGACGAATAGCCCATTTTCTTGTAATAGTTGAAGAAAAATTACAATACACAGAAAGAAAACTTACCTTTGAAACATCAAATTTCCTAGTGAGAATATTAGAGGACATATCACAGACAAGTGGTACACCGTTAGTTTCTGGTATAAACTGAAACTCAACACCTGCAAATAAAAGTACAGGTCAATAACTGGTACTGAATCATGTATTCCAATAACTAGTGTACATGAAAATGTCACAATGTAAGTGTACATGAAAATGTCACAATGTAAGTGTACATGAAAATGTCACAATGTAAGTGTACATGAAAATGTCACAATGTAAGTGTACATGAAAATGTCACAATGTAAGTGAACATGGAAATGTCACAATGTAAGTATACATGAAAATGTCACAATGCAAGTGTACATGGCAATGTCATAATGCTTGTTTGTTTGTTTCATTTTACCCCTTTCCCAACAGTATTTCAGTCATATAGGCGGGTAGTTTCCTAACTATTGTTCCTGGAGAGTTACACCAGTACTAGACTACTGTCCTCCGCGCTAAACTACCAAAGCATCTCCCGGGCATCGAACCCACTCCAGAGAGGTAACTGGATTAGAAGTCATCAACTCTAACCCCTCGGCCACGGAGGCGGTTTATGTCACAATGCAAGTGTACATTAAAATGTCACAATGCAAGTGTACATGAAAATGTCACAATGTAAGTGTACATGAAAATGTCACAATGTTAGTGTACATGAAAATGTCACAATGCAAGTGTACATGACAATGTCACAATGCAAGTGTACATGAAAATGTCACAATGTAAGTGTACATGACAATGTCACAAAGCAAGTGTACATGACCATGTCACAGTGTAAGAGTACATGACAATGTCACAGTGTAAGAGAACATGACCATGTCACAGTGTAAGAGTACATGACAATGTCACAATGTAAGAGTACATGACAATGTCACAGTGTAAGAGTACATGACAATGTCACAATGTAAGAGTACATGACAATGTCACAGTGTAAGAGAACATGACCATGTCACAGTGTAAGAGTACATGACAATGTCACAGTGTAAGAGTACATGACAATGTCACAGTGTAAGAGTACATGACAATGTCACAATGTAAGAGTACATGACAATGTCACAGTGTAAGTGTACATGACAATGTCACAAAGCAAGTGTACATGACCATGTCACAGTGTAAGAGTACATGACAATGTCACAGTGTAAGTGTACATGACAATGTCACAAAGCAAGTGTACATGACCATGTCACAGTGTAAGAGTACATGACAATGTCACAATGTAAGAGTACATGACAATGTCACAGTGTAAGTGTACATGACAATGTCACAATGTAAGAGTACATTGACAATGTCACAATGTAAGAGTACATGACAATGTCACAGTGTAAGAGTACATGACAATGTCACAGTGTAAGAGTACATGACAATGTCACAATGTAAGAGTACATGACAATGTCACAATGTAAGTGTACATGACAATGTCACAGTGTAAGTGTACATGACAATGTCACAAAGCAAGTGTACATGACCATGTCACAGTGTAAGAGTACATGACAATGTCACAATGTAAGAGTACATGACAATGTCACAGTGTAAGTGTACATGACAATGTCACAATGTAAGAGTACATGACAATGTCACAGTGTAAGAGTACATGACAATGTCACAGTGTAAGAGTACATGACAATGTCACAATGTAAGAGTACATGACAATGTCACAATGTAAGTGTACATGACAATGTCACAATGTAAGAGTACATGACAATGTCACAATGTAAGAGTACATGACAATGTCACAGTGTAAGAGTACATGACAATGTCACAGTGTAAGAGTACATGACAATGTCACAATGTAAGAGTACATGACCATGTCACAGTGTAAGAGTACATGACAATGTCACAATGTAAGAGTACATGACAATGTCACAGTGTAAGTGTACATGACAATGTCACAATGTAAGAGTACATGACAATGTCACAATGTAAGAGTACATGACAATGTCACAGTGTAAGAGTACATGACAATGTCACAATGTAAGAGTACATGACAATGTCACAATGTAAGAGTACATGACAATGTCACAGTGTAAGAGTACATGACAATGTCACAATGTAAGAGTACATGACAATGTCACAATGTAAGTGTACATGACAATGTCACAATGTAAGAGTACATGACAATGTCACAATGTAAGAGTACATGACAATGTCACAGTGTAAGAGTACATGACAATGTCACAGTGTAAGAGTACATGACAATGTCACAATGTAAGAGTACATGACAATGTCACAATGTAAGAGTACATGACCATGTCACAGTGTAAGAGTACATGACAATGTCACAGTGTCAGTGTACATGACAATGTCACAATGCAAGTCTGCTGTAACCAGTTCTAATTGCTTTTGCCACCAGTAATAGTAAACAGAACATATCTAATTTACATTCATGAAGAGACTGTGTAGCAATAATCTATACTTTCTTAAATCAAATCTGAGCATAGTATATCTTTAAGGCAAGGTATAAAATTCTATATGCTTAACTTAGTCAGTGAAAAATACAACTGAATAAACAAGTAAAACCACCTTACCATGTACTGTCTCATTATCACAGTAGTATACATAAGAAGCCTCGGGATTCAAATTCCACTCTGATTGATCTGGTATATCTGGGAAACAAGACAATATTTTACTATATTATAGCCTACTTTATCATAAAAGAAACATGAAAATTTGCATGTTTAAATTGAAAATTGTCTATCTATAATCTTCTATATACTGGTGAACCCCTTACGGGGATGTAAAATAACTAAAGTTAGCTATCACACAGTATATAATATCATGTCAGATGAAACTTAATTTTATTTAGATCATAACTCTTTTAACAATAAGCAGAAGTACCAAGTAAATATAATAATCAGGAACCATTCATTATATTACTTTAGAATGACAAGTGTTAACAAGAGCCCTATGTTGAATAATATTGCTATGGTTTTAATGTTATACAGAGGGTCATTTTACTGATCAAGATGCAATACTAAAAACATGTAAAATATTTTACTGTCACAGATATATTATTTTTAATTGTTCATTTTCTGAAATCAAATGGTGTTCACTGTTCAGTCAACTGACACTTTTTAATGCAAGTTTACTATTTTAGCAATAACTTTCGATGAATTTGGTTAAAACCAATTCTGTCAAAATTTTCAATATCAAAATATTTTCAACAGAGTAATACAAGTTAAAGAGAGTACTTACTTGTGTAGCTGTTTTGTTTTGGAAAAACATAATTCACTTTCCCATACTTTTCTGCCTCTTTGGCCGCCTTAGCTGACCAACAACCAGTGACCAGGTAATCAGCTGTTTGTCCCGGTTTCAAGTTCAACAAGTTACATGGTACCGCAGAAAACTGTCCTGTACCACCACCTTGTAAGAACAAAACCTTGTAATTCTCTGGTATATCCCTGTAATCAACCAAGAACAAATTGCAGAATCTAGAATATTATCTAATATACCATATATTCCTGATATTATATGGCAAAATTTACAGGCATAAATTGGCAATGCACAGAATAAAGCCGTGTCTAAGCTAACTGATAAAACTAAATAAATAACACATACAGTTAAAATATCCTGAGGGAAAATAATGATGCAGT